TGGTTCTCCCACTCCAGACAGACGCAGGTTAAGATCTTTCCTGGTAAGCACACCTCGTGGTGCTACATAGATTATTAGAGATGCGTTAAGAGGCTGAAACTAATGGGCCAGGCAGTGTTTAAAGAATACAGTTTCCGTGTAATTATTTCGGGTAAAGCTAGCCGTGCGGGCGGCCGGGTGCTGGGAAAGTAGCCCGCTGCTCTAATTTCAACACCCTATCAGGATGGATGCCATCCAGACCCGTCACCCCAGCTGTCCCCATCTATCAGGATGGATACCATCCAGACCCATCACCCCCACTGTCCCCATCTATCAGGATGGATACCATCCAGACCCGTCACCCCCACCGTCCCTATCTATCAGGATGGATACCATCCAGACCCGTCACTCCCACTGTCCCCATCTATCAGGATGGATGCCATCCAGACCCATCACCCCTACTGTCCCCATCTATCAGGATAGATACCATCCAGACCCCGTCACCCCTACCGTCCCCATCTATCAGGATGGATACCATCCAGACCTGTCACCCCTACTGTCCCCATCTATCAGGATGGATGCCATCCAGACCCGTCACCACAGCATCTCTGCAATGATCTTCAACAGCACCCCACACCAACCTGAACCCTCCTCACTAGTTCACATCTTCAGTTTTAGTGACTTCAGTTTCCACATTACTGCGATTTTAATATTTAGATGCTTTAAGCCAGGCATGGAGACACACACCTGCAATACAGTATTTGGGAAGTTGAAGCAGGAAGATCAGGTGTTGAAGACCAGCTTCAGCCACATAGCAAATTTGAGGCCAGCCTGAGCTATTTGAGACGGTGTCCAAAAAACTCTCAAAGGTTAAAAATAAAAGCAATCCTTTTTTTTTTTTGAGATAAGAGCATCATGTAATCCAGAATGAATTTCTGATCCTCTTATTCCAAATCTTGGAATTGTAGTTATAATTGGCAAGTCATTAGTTTTTAAAATATGTGATATTTATTAGTTGTAAATATTTCAGAGTACATAAAGTATTATTTTCAATAGAAATATTTTATATTAAGAAGATATTTCCTCTAAGAAATCAGTCTATACACCTCAATGAACTTCTATACGGTTAGATAAGATCTAATCTGAAAAAATGTGGGTGCTTTTTCTCAGGTCAGAGTTTTATCTTGTATAATCTTATTTTTGATAAGGCTACCAGACTGTTCCATCAGGGCACTATTGTAGTCTGAGATTCCTGTAATGAATGCTTTAAACAGGATTTCTCACAGTAACCTGAGATGAGAGATGTAAAGAGGAAACAATTACATGCCTTTATTCCGTACCACCAAGTACGGGCTGAATCCGGGCCTCGGGCACTCATAAGTCAGTGCTCTCTGACGCTTGATTTAACCTCTGCACTCACCCAGACTGATGTTCCAGCAGCACTGATGTAGATAACTGGGCAGATTTGTTATCTACACTTAGTGTCCGCCTTGACTGGTACATTTACTCCATAACACAATATATACTTTTATCTTCTCAGGACCTGTAATTAGGTCCATTTATTGTAATAAGGGAAGGAAATTGGAGAACATGAGGCTATCAAAGATCCAGGACTAGACTTTGTACAGAAATGCAGACAGATGGAATGTTGTCCCAGGAAAATCAGTTAGCAGGCATAGTCTTGGGTACAAAGCAAGTGTTTGAAATCAAGGGTCTGTCTTTTGATGGGAGTGCTTTTTAGTTTTTCGGTTAGCACAGGGATGAGTTTCATCATGGCATTTTCACGCGCAGCATGCTTTGTTCTTCCTCACCCCATTCGTCTTTTACTGCTTTCCTATTACAAATGTTCCATTAATTTTTCCATCTCCCTTCTGGTCTCTTCCTCCCATCTCATGACACACCTCCTCAAAGTACACACACGTCATTCTAAATGAAATTCAGAATGATAAAACATGTATTTGTGCGAGTCTGATTTATTTAGAAACCTAACGATTTCCAGTAAGATCCAATTTCTTGCAAATGTCGTGACTGCACTTTCCTGTATGGTTGTTTAAAATTCCATAGTGTTTTTGCACTACATTTATCTACTGATCTGTAGATGAGTTCATAAGCTGTCTCAGTTTCCTGGCTATTGTGAGCAGTGAAGCAATGAGCATGGGTGGGAAGGTATCTCTGTGGCATGTCGCCTAGTTGCTGGTGTATATGCTCAAGTGGCTAAGTCATACAGCAGCTCTATTTTCTGTTTCTTTTTTTTTTTTTGAAGAACCTCCATACTGATTTTTTAAAAAGGTTTATTATTACTATTATTGCTTTTTGAAACACGGTTTCTCTCTGTAGTCTTCTGTCCTAGAGTGTACTATGTAAACCAGGCTGGCATCGAACTCAGAGATCCACCAGCCTCTGCACTTGCTGGCATTAAAGGTGTATGCCACATACCCAGCATGGTTTTTTATGTGTATGGGTGTTTCACCTGCATGTCTATCTGTACGCAGATGTGTACAATAACCAGAGGGAAGGTGTCAGATCTGAAACTGGAGTTACAGACTGTCGTTAGCCAACCCATGTCTGTTGGAAACCAAACCCAGGTCCTCTGCAAGGGCAACAAGTGCTGGTCCCTCTCCAGCCCCTCCATATATTTTTTTAAGGTAGTTGCATCAGTCTGTCATCAGTGGAGAAGGGTTCCTCTTTCCTCACCTCTTCTGCAGCATGCTTTCTTAATGATAAGTTTTACTGGATGAGATGAAATCTCAAAGCAGCTGCAATTTGTATTTCCTATTAGCTCACGATGTTGAGTGTTTTCCAAGTACTCATTGGCCATTTATATCTTCTTCAGAGAACTGGCTCCTTGGATCATCATTCCATTTACTGAATACATGACTTATGTAATTTTTGAGGATCATCACTCTGGGTATTCATCCTCTCTGATGTGTAGTGAGCTATTCTGTTATTTCCCCTCATTCAGTAGGTTTTCTCTTCACTGGTGAATGCTCCTCTGCTGTGTAGAAATTTACATTTCATGTGATTATCAATTATCATTTATCAATTCTTGGGATTGTTTCTGTGGTACTGGGATCCTTTTTGTAAAATCCTTTGTTTCCCTCCTGTGGCTGGTTTCAGGTCTTACATTGTGATCTTCAATTCATTTTTACCTTAATGCAAGACAAATGATGTGTATGTGGAAATCCAGTTTTCCCACAATGGTTTATTAGAGGCAGTATTTTGTCCAATGTGTTTTTGACAACGTTGTCAATGTACCCTGAGTACTTTCCTTTCCTGTTGGTGGTGTCTTTTACTTCACCTGTATCATATTGTTCTTGTTACCATGAGACTGGGTTTTAAGATACTGCTAAGGGCTGCATTATTCAGTCTTTTATGCTTTCATACAAATCTGTAATTGTTGCTTTCTAATTTTGTAAAAAACATCACTGGGATTTTTATGGGGATTGCACTGAATCTCTAGCTTACATTGGGTAATACAGCCATCTTTTTTGAATAGTATTAATTCTGCCAATCCTTCAACATACCTCTCCATCTTTTAGTGACTTCAGCCCCATCTCCCAATGTTTTTTTATCACTTGCTTCAGATTTACTTGGAGTTTTCCTTAAAAGCAAACTTCGGGTCTAATGCTGTATTTGTCAAGCCTTGCATCTAAGGATGGTTCCTGGGAATCTATACTGAAGACTACAGATGGGCTGCCATTTTATTCACTAACTTTGTGCTATTACTCTGTGGTATTGGGAGGGGGAATGATCATGCGAATTTGCAGGTTTTACAGCCTTGGAGTGTTGGCATTTTAGCTTAGACAATTTCTGGCTGTGACAGACTGCTGCTGTGTGGAAGCGCCCTCGTCCTGCTGAGACACTGAGATATGTGTGTCCCTTACAAAGCCCCAGAGAGCGTGTGTGGCAATGCTCAGCTGCTGCAGCAGGAATAAGGTGGGCCGAGTCTACCGCGAGAGTGCCTACGTAAAGCAGACACTAGGTAGTGAACACTAAGACTAGATTTGGAGAGGCATGAAACATAAAACCCCAAAGTAGGCAGAGTTTGGCAGGTTAGCAAAGTTTTCTTTTCAATTATGGTTGATTTTAATGTCAACTTGCCACAAATTATAATCAGCTGAGTGGAGAGCCTCACCCAAAGACTTGCCCTGATATCCCAGACATGGGAAGGCCCACTCTGACTGTCGCAGTCGGTCTCCTCTTGTCCGTCTTTCCCTCTTGTGCTGAGTTGTCTCACACTGCTGGTTCCTTCACTACCAGCATTTCCAAGCCTTCATTGTGGAGCAGGACCACAAGCACTATGGGAAGTTCCTGCGCTTCTGGTGCCAGATCCCAACTCATGAAATTAGTAAGTGTGTGTCATCACCCCCACAGTGAGAGAGCTATTCTCAACCATTCTAGGACAGCTGGAACTACTGACATACCTAGTCTCAAGAACTGAGTACTGGGTTCTTAGTGTCTCAGGTGTGATATGGCTATCAGTATTTTAAAGCCCCTCCTCCCCCCAACTCCAACCGCATTCTAGTCCTCTAGAGGGCCTGCCTAAAACACTTTTTTTTGCCCCTTTTTTGAGACAGGGTCTCACGCAACCCAGGCTGGCCCTGAAATGTCCTGCACGACAGGACTATTATGTTACTAGACTACAAAGCAAGCAATCCATCAATCAAACGAACAAGAAAGATAGAAGAAAAAACCCCAAACAAACAAACAAACAAAAAAGGAAGAAAGAAAGACAGAGAAGAGTACCAAGGCTTTACTTACACTCTAATCCTCTAAATGTACAGATCAAGCTTGGACCGAGATAAAGAGAAGCAGCAGAGCAACAAACAGCAAGAGCCCAGCGCAGCGGGGGGAATGTGTTTTCTGAAGTAACACGCCAGAGAATTCAGTGAAGAAGTTCTGCAGTCCTTTAAGTGGTTACTCTTACCTGAAAAGTAAATTCCATGAAGGATGTAGATTAAGTTTGATCAATCTTGGTCAAACAAGATAATAAATTAAGCTGTAATTTTGAAAGTACTCAAGAAATCTGTAAAAGCAGAGTTACAATGAATATTTTTATTCAGGATAAAAACAAATACCCCCCCCCCAAAAAAAACAAAAAATCAAAGCAACACAAAAACGTCTCTGTCACTTGCAGTATCGGTCAGCTTTCAATTTGGCTCTCCTGTTTAAGACACAAAGAACAATGAATGTAAAACACACCATATAGAGTCAATTGCTACCAACTAGAAAACTCAAGCCTGGAAACTGTCCTATTTTCATCACTGTATTATTACACAGTCATATTAAAAGATTTCATTAAAGCTTTACCTTTGAACTTTCTTTAGTCTTATGAAACTTATTTTGTAATAGTCAACAGAGGTGGCTTAAGGGCTTTTTCAGGTCACAAGGGACACAGTAGTCATTCATGAGCTTAAGCCTGCCCTAAGCTTCTATTGGGCAACGATGGTGCATTTTTTTTTTAAAAGACTGGTTTTGAAGTTGCTAAACAAACAGCTTACTCTATTTTAGAGTTCACAGTCTGACTATATTTTATGTCCTTTTGACTTCTCAAAACCACACACATATTAATTTTTCAACAACAACAAAAATTTCTCCCATTAACCGAGTTCACCTTTACCAACCATTTAACCGGGAGTATGCAATTAAGTATTATTTTATCAGACAGTGGGAAGGCTTAAGAGTGATTTACAACAGGAGGCTTTATGACTGACAGGAGATTATCAGATTCCTTTTCAGTTTGGCACTCTATTGATAGACTGCTTTAAGCCCGCAGTTAACTTCCCTGCCTGTTTTTCCAGGTAGTAAGTGTAGGCAGTTACTTATTTAAAAAAAATAAACTGGAAAAATATCAATAATGTGTTAGAAATATCTTGCACACTGCTGAATCTAACCTTACTTAAACAGGTTCAATTTCCCTTACTAAACTTTTAGTCTGGATACAAACTCATACATTGAATCTCAGTTTTAGGAACCTCTACTATACAAAAAGAACACAGAATCTTGGTATTACTCAAGCAACTTTCTAGCTTAGTTCCCAATCTTAAGGGAAGACGATGGGAAACAAACTTATGAGAGGCAAGCACGGTAACTGCTACACCTGGAGACAGCCTGGAGGTTGCAAGGTAATCACTACAATATGGAAATGACCTGGTGGTTCAGTGATTTTATGAAATAGTTTGAGATGAACCTGAAAAGCTAAAAAGAATTTAAGAATTTACATTCTGGTTATAATTTAGAAAGTTGTTTTTAGCACACTTTCCCCAGTCTTATGTCTTTAGGTAATAGTACCATATAATTTAGAGAAGACAGAAATCCTAAAACGACAGCAATGTAAGAACATACTACCTTTGAAAACTGCTGAAATTATGCAAACATGCAATTACCTGTCCAGAAGAGTCTCATGCAAAAACCCATCTTTCCGAGCCTTTTTAAGAATTTTACTATCTTCTTTGCTTATTTTGAGTTTGTGGTCTTGGAAGCTCTGAAATTTCTTTCTGTGAAGAAGATCTCTCATTGAAAAAACAAACCTCAAACTTTTATTGTGTTCCCTTACCAAATTCCAAATACTATTAAAAGTTTTCCCCCACTCATTTGTTTAACAAACCTAATTATATTTCTTTAAAAATTGAAAAGTTTTTCTATTACAAAGGTGATTTCTTATGCTCTATCAAAGGGGCTGTCACGTGGCTAGCCCTGCACAGCTTCCGTCTAAGGATGTTGGCTGGTTGTAGCCCTCATTTCTGGAACATGAATGGCCCCTGGGTGGCGTGATAGTAACTCTATTAGAGGAAAGGAGAGCTGACTAACCCAGGTGTCTTTAGCTTGAAGCACTCAGCTCTTTGCTCTGTCCTTCAGGTACTTTGCTATCAGGGGTCCCGAGAAACCCTACTGTCAGAGTGGGGTCTGAAGGGAGAATACATACACATAGTTGATTTCACACTGCTTCACATTTCCTTTGTCCTCTTCTGGGATGTCGTCTTTCTTTTTGGTTTCCCTTTCAGCACAGGATCTAATCTAGATATTGATGAGAACCCAATAGGTTGCACATTTATCTTCCTCTCCTCACTTGCTAGGCAAAAGCATTCTAAGTGATTTCTTACTCAAGCAAAGAAAACAATGAACTTAGCAATAAGATTTAGGAAAAGACAAGCTCAAGATATATGATGTGTTTCGTACACATGTATCACTTGCAGAATCAGCTGGAATCACATATAAGTTTAAACAAGGTTTCATCAGATTCCATTTAGCTACCTGATGATCCTGGAAGTTTATTGATGACGACATATAGTCATATGTTGTTTGAGGACAAAAACCAGGAGACAATCTATATTTCAATTTATAAGAGACTACCTGAATAAAGTAAGGAAGAGCCCTAAAAGATAACACTATGAAGGTGAGGAGGGCAAGATATTTGATACAGATTTACAGGGACAGGAATCTTTAGGATACAACAGAAAACAGGGAAGGTGTTTATATAAGACAATATAGCAAGCAAGCAACAGTAAAACCAAATGAAGCAAACGATGGAGGAAAGGTAGGGACAGGGCAGGATGGGAACTAGGTAAGCAGTGTAGGTGGGAGACACAAGGCTTTGTATGCTTTCACTTTGAAACCTCCATGCTATGAGAACATATTATCTATCTTAAACATTAAGTATCAGGAAAGCTGCAGAGAAGCTCTGACCATTGGTTTCTCACCTGCATGGTACAAACACGGCATCCCTGGACATGGGATAGTTAAGCACATGGAAAGAGACAGTCGGGGCTGTCCATGTTTCATCACTACAGCCTGTACGAGGTGCTTACCTTTATCATTTCTTCTTCTCCTGCTGTTTTATTCTTTGCTTCTATATCACCTGCCTCATTACATCTAATAAAGCAGCTATTTGAGGCCAATAAAGCCATTTTCCCCTAAATAAAACAAAAAAATAAGAAAACAAGCTATAAATACTTATAGAAATCATAAGTCATTTACCTAATTTAAAAATTTCTCCCCAATCATAAAATCAAAAAGAATTTAGAGAAATCCTGCAAAATACAAAAGCATTAACAGAAGGGAAACCAAAATCACCCCAAATCTTGATATTCAAATATTATCACACTAAACCCTTCATTACCCTTTACTTTCTTCTATCAGGACATTAATTAATTAATAAAATTAGTTTTTTTAATTCCTATCTCTGAAGATACAACTCAATAGTTAAGTTAAAATTTATCTTTAAGGAAAATAAAACTTATGAATAATACACAATAATTTATTGAAATACTGGTATTCTAAGTGCAATTTCTTTTTCTCCATAATTAAAAGCCTTTGGCTTAGAGGGAATTCTGTGTAGAATGACATACTTTTAGGGATCAAATGTTTATGATTATACTGATTTCTATTAAATAAAACCTTAAAAACTAATTTTCTTGTGGATCTGAATGTGAATTATAGTTAAGTTCTCCTAATAATTGTAAATTTTAACTAGAATTTTTATTTGGATGATTCTTGTAGAAAACTTTGAATATCAGAAGAACAATTCACAAATACAATAATTACAGAATAACCCTGAAACACCCAGTTAAAACAGCATGAATTCCATGGATTCTGTTTGGTGTCTTAGTCAAGGCGGCGGGACTCCCCTGTATGCAGCCACACACTCTACAGAATCCACTTGTGCTGTGGGTAACTGCTTCTGCAGTTTAACCTGCTGTATCAGGGCTTTTAAGTCTTTTGTTTGAATTATAAGAATGGAAAGTGTCTTCCTAAGAGTAAAGTGAAATAAATGGTCTTGTAGTCTGTCATCTTGACCTATGATATATCGGTCTTCCCTATTAGTATAATTTTTATTGTATTTTTAAGTTAGTTATTGTGCACGTACGATGTATGCATGTGTGACATGTGTCATAGTGTGTGCGCAGAGGTCAGAGGACAGCTCTGTTGAGTCAGTGCTCTCCTTCCACCTTCATGTGGGTTCTGATAATCAAATGCAAACCTGATAATCAGGCTGTCAGTGCTGAGCAACCTCACAGGCCCTGGTAGAACTGTTATTAACCAGTCCTGGAAAAAAGCGAAAAAGACCATCCAAACTAGACAGAGGGAGAATAGCGCAGAAAATGCCAGAGTGCAAAATACATGATAAATAATTACTATTGTTCTTTGTCTCAGCTCCAACTCCCACAGCCATCCCCTCGGAAACCCACATCTACTAAGGAAGCAAGCAGGTAATCTTCAGACTTTATTCTCTCTTTTCTCCTCCAAATCCAATCCCCCAGTCTCATCCTCAGCTCTGGGGCAGAACAACTGTTGTGGCCTTTCCTTCCTCACTGTCCTATACCCAGGGGATAGGTGCACATCCAGGCAGCACATTGCTTTCCTTCCTCCTGTGGGCGCCCTTAACCCCTCACTTCCATCCTCACTTCCAAGTATTGCTCCCAATAGTTAGAAATACAGTCCACCTGGAGATCCAATTGGCCACACTTGGCATGATCTGAGAAGCATTCCCTACCAGGCAACCCACAGCCACCAGACTCTGCTAAGAACCAGAGAGGGCAACAGAAACCAAGGGACTAACTGAACACTCACCCAACAAAGACAAGACCAGATATTAACATCTAGAAATACAATCATCCCAAACCCAAGGAGATGACTAGACACTAATGTAAAGGCACACCAACAGCCAGGACAGTATGTCTGCAGCAGAGCTCAGCAACCTTACCACCAAGGGCCCTAGAAATGCAATATAGCTGAGACAGAAGACAGCGACTTCAAAATAGTCTTTATGAATATGTTAGAGGTCCTAAAAGAGGAAATGGATATATCCACTAAAGAAATAAAAACAAGAAAGTGGAAACAGAATATAGAAAACCCAAACTGAGAGAGAGCTGGAACTCCAACAGAAACCTTGGAGACAAGCCTCCCCACCAGAGTACAAGAGATGGAGAAGTGAGTCTCAGGCGCTGAAGACAGGGTAGAAGGAATGCACACCTTGCTCAAAGAAGAAATCCACATACAAAACTTCAGGCACTCTGGGACTCTATGAACAGACTAATCCACAACTAATAGGGATAGAGGAAGGAAAAGAAACCTAGGTCAAACGCACAGAAAATATTTTCAATAAAATCATACAAGTAAATTTCCCCAAGTGCCTATCGAGGTAGAGAATGCATACAAAACACCAAATAAAGTGATCAGAAAATAAATTCCTCATGTCACATAATAATGAAAACACTAAATGTACAAAGAAAGACTATTAAAAATTGCAAGGGGAAAAGACCAAATAACATATAAGCAGATATATTAAAATAACATCATGTTTTCAATGAAGTCTCTAAAAGCCAGAAGGGTCTAGTCATTTTAATATCGGACAAAACAGACTTCAAAACAAAACTAAACAGAAGAGACAGGGAAGGATACTGCATGAGAGGAAAAAAATCCACCAAAAAGATAATGCAATTTAAACATCTATGCACCAAACATGAAGACACCGAAGTTCACAAAAGAAACACTACTTACATTTAAAATGTTTAAGAACTTAAGACTTTTCATGACAGTGAGACACTTCTGCTCCTGGCAGCACGAGTTACTTCAAGAGGAAGGTGGGCATTGAAGAGGCTCCTTATGGAGTTGGTTAGCCATTTGAGCAAGAAACTGTTCTTGCCTGGACTGCTTAACTAGACATGCAGTACCCACAGAGAAATTGACTGTTGAACTTGCCTAAAGGTAAGATAATCCTTCAGGGTTCCTGCTTCATGAAAGAGTCTGTGAGACATTATGCAGGATACAGAAGAAAGTGACTAAACTGTCTTTGAAATTCCTGCTTCATGGAAAAGTCTGTGGGATACTATGGGCCTGTAGACTGAAAATGGATGCCCCAATGATACAGAAAAACTATAGGTGACTGTCCAGGCAGCGAGATGTCTCTGTCAATTCCAGAGTTTTGGAAGTTGATTACAATTCACTTTCTGTTTAGTTGGGTAATATTATATCCTTCTGGAGTCTTTGATGGAGTTAAAGAATTTATCGTTATAGTTTTCCTAAGTTATAATAAAAGATAAATACATATAAATAATGTAACTGTAGTTCTTGCTTGATACCTGTTTTGTAATATGTAGTTTTCCTATGTTGAAGTTAAAGCCTTCCTTTTTGTTTAAACAAAAAAGGGGAAATGGTATAAGAGGTCCTTCTGTCTGTGTGTTGCTTTTCTTGGTTAATGAATAAAGAAACTGCCTTGGGCCTGTTGATAGGGAAGAACTTAGGTAGGTGGGGAAGAAGGAACTGAATTCTGGGAGAAGGAAGAAAGAGTCAGAGGAAGCTGCCCTGGAGCAGCCAACAGAGTAAGACATGCTAAATTTTGTCCAGTATGCCACTGCCATGTGGCAATATACAGATTAATAGAAATGAGTTAAATTAAGATGTAAGAGTTAGCCAATAATAAGCTAGAGCTAATGGGCCAAGTGGTGATTTAATGAATACAGTTTTTGTGTGGTTATTTCAGGGCTGAGCTAGCCGGGTAGGCAGGATGAACAATAGGGCCCTCCTTGCAACATACATCTAATCAAGTTGTTGGTCACTATGGGAACTTCAAAACAACTCAGGCTAGCAACACGGTTACTGATTGCTCTTGAAAAAACAACAGCAAGACCTTTATTACTGAAGACAACACCCACATAACTCACTGAACATGGGGGAGTTGAGCTGGTACCCACTTAAGAGCCTTATCTCCTGTGTATCAGTGTTCATGGTACTGGAAGGTAGTCTGGAAGCTATTAAAGGAGAAAAGTAAACACCAACCCAGCTACAAACCCTTTTATCTACAATGGTGATCTGCCTGCAGGATACACTGGAGGAACAGTGGCACAAAGCTTGTGGGAACAGTAAGCAATCAGTATCGGATTTGATTTCAGGCCACGCCATGAGATGTAACCTACAATACCCAATGCTGTTAGGGTGGCCAAGGAGAGTAGATAGGCCAGGCGGCTGCAATCTCAACTCGGGTCCTCAGGATGCCACAGGAGCTCCTGCCAAGGAACCACCTCTCCAGCCCTGATGCACGCTGTGCTGAACGTACACGCCACTCTTGCTGAACTGAACTTCTCTTCTGGCCTGTTCTAGGTTTCTTTACAGTTTTTGATATATTACAACTGATATTTACTAAAATTCACTTATCTTTCATTAAACTTGTTTATACTGATTTTTTTCTCATGAATTGAAACTTAGAGCTCTACAAAGGGCATTTATTTCAATGAACCATACCATGATTTACTATTTCATACACAAACAGTCACAATGCATTAGCTTCCTCTATTGCCTCTTGTCAGTCTCTAAAGGCTCCGAACCAACTTATGTGGAATTGATGCCCCCGGAACACCCTGGGATTTGCTTCTTTTCTAAAACCCTACCACTGAAATAAGACAACAAGGTCTCAATGGTGGCTGGAAACCAGAATGGGGCAGAGACTCTTCGTTGCACTGTTTTGATATCATTATAGGGTTATAAGTTCATTCTAATTTTTTTTTTCAATTTAATGTATAATACTATTACAATCTACCCTTTACTGTTTTATTGTTAATTTTAAGAGTATGCTTTTCCTAATAATGATGTTTTCTTAAACTGGCAGAGCGTCCGTCTAGGTAATAGTACTTACATCTTGAAACACTGGTTCCCATTGTTCTCTTGGCCCGATTGCATCCGACCGCCCAACAACAAGTCCATCTGAATTTATACCAAGATATTTTCCATAGCCAGATTTCAGTGCAATCCTTTGGTTTAATAAAAAAGATAAATGTTAAAAACTGAAGGTAAGAATGTAAGTATAAAATAAAGAGTATATTATGTATACTTATGTATCTGTGTGTGTGTATATATATATATATATGCATATACATTAATAAATCCAGACACGTTTATAGTGGACACTATATTCTCTATCTATAATCTTATATTTTGTTTTCTAATATAATTATTATACAGCAATTGTTTTCCAAATGCATTATACAGATGTATAAAAGTCACCTTTTATGCTATTACAGTCTTACTGATTTCTCTGTTATATATATATATATAAAACTGCTGATCTGTCTTTAGAAGAGGAAGGCACTGGATTGAAGGTTATCAACTTATGATTGTAAAACAGGGTCTTTTTTAATAGTCCAGGCTGACTCCCACCAGATGTTAAAACTTTAATACACAATATGGAAAAATATTTGCACAATAGTTACTAGGAAGAAAGACATCAGCATGTCTGTATTTTCCTCTTCCACTTTAAAACTAGCTGGTGTGTGTCCCCTTTTTACTGATGCCATCAGCACTGTGAACGCTATGCAGACATACCACCAGCTAACCACTCACTGCCTGTGGAGATTGTTGCAAATAATCACTCTCTACTGCTCATAAGATTTTTGTTTGTAATCATAAGGAAACTTACTGACATTTTGTTCCTTGCTTTACTCCTAAATCTTTCAAAGAAATATAAAAGTCATTATTTAAATGTGATTTTAGAAAACTTTGATTTCTGATTTTTATTTGCCAATCAATTTCCGGGGATGCTGAATTGACTTCATAATCAGTTGGCGGTTGATGATAAATAAATATTATTAAGTTGCTGTAATTACTACTACAATACTGATACTCAATTTCTCTATCTGCTACTCAAAAGCATCACTTAGCACTTTTTTACTGTAAGAACAAAAATGGTCAATTTTTTTGTGTGATCATGGAAACTGTTTAGTTTCAGCAACACTCTTTGCTTTTGCCTTCCTATCTCTTGACTTTTTTCTGAGAAACGGTGTGAGTACACTCCCTAGCTGGCTGGAACTTGTAATCTTGTTCCTGAGCCTCCCAAGTGTTGGGATGACAGGTGTCTGCCACCATGACCAATATGTCTCTTCTGACTGCAAATCCATACAACACGGAATCACTGGCAGGTCTTCTTTCATGCTTATTGTCTTCTCATGCTCTCTGATCTATTTAATTTGGTCACTTGACATTATTAATTTTCATTTTTAGGCCATTATTATACATGCAGACATTCCTCAAATTCCCCAAACCAGAAATCTAAAACAATTCTATTACGAATGTTTTCTGAATACCATAAAAATCTCCTTTCAGAGAGAGAGCATGAGCAAGGAACTCAGGACCGCGAGGGGTGCACCCACACACTGAGACAATGGGGATGTTCTATCGGGAACTCACCAAGGCCAGCTGGCCTGGGTCTGAAAAAGCCTGGGATAAAACCGGACTCTCTGAACATAGCAGACAATGAGGACTACTGAGAACTTAAGAACAATGGCAATGGGTTTCTGATCCTACTGCACGTACTGGCTTTGTGGGAGCCTAGGCAGTTTGGATGCTCACCTTACGAGACCTGGATGGAGGTGGGGGGGTCCTTGGACTTCCCACAGGGCAGGAAACCCTGATTGCTCTTTGGGATGAGAGGGAGGGGAACTTGATTGGGGGAGGGGGAGGGAAATGGGAGGCGGTGGTAGGGAGGAGGCAGAAATCTTTAATAAATAAATAAATAATTAAAAAAAAATCTCCTTTTCAAGCCAGGCAGTTGTGGTGCACATCTTTAACCCCAACACTTGGGAGGCAGAAGCAGGTGGATCTCTGTGAGTTCGAGGCCAGCCAGGTCTACAGAGTGAGTTTCAGGACAGCCAGGACTCTATAGAGAGACACTGTCTTTTAAAAAAAAATAAAATAAAAAAAAAGAGGGAAATAATCTCCTTTTTAAAATACCGTCTTTCAATTAAAATTATGCTGACTGTATTCACCAATAGTGCAGTTTTTTTTTTTTTACATAAGTGAAATTATTCTTATTCGAAACAGGGTTCCATGTACATTATACAGCCAAGATAGCCTTGAACTCCTAGTCCTCCAGACTCTGTCTTCTATGTGCTGGTAGGAAAGGCATGCATCACAATGCATGGTTAAGTAAAATATAATTTTAAGGCTTTTAAACACAGTTCAACTAAAGCTTACCTGGAATCAGACAGTTTGACAGCGGTAAACTGCTCTGGGGGACTGGGGCCCTCATCAACTACAGAGAAACAAAAATGGTAAATATATAACTTTTTCTATAAACACATACATAAAGATTTTATGCTTTAAAAACTAGCCCCCCACCCAAATTACAGGTAAGGATATTATGATATTTGCACATACTGTAATAATGCACCATCTATACTATGAAGGAATGGTTACAGGGACAATTTATGTACTTTGAAGGACAGTTTGGTATGACTTATTTAGCCAGTTCCACTACAATCTCACGTTTTAAAACACAGCACATAAATAACAGTATGTGAATTACTAACTGCTTTTATTTACTCAAGGAACATCCATTCTGGCCAAGGCAGACGCCCTTTTATTTTCCAATTACTGCATTCCTTGTGGTGCTTCCTTGTAGGCTAAGGATAAGGAGATTACATCTAAATGTCTGTTAACCATACCAGTTCTGAAGGAAGAAAAAAACTTCACACTTCTGATTCAATTAGTTTTTAATCTTTTCTTTCCACTTAGAATTGTGTGTTTTGTGTGATTTTAATGCTATTCTTTTTTCCACAGGGTTTCTGATAGTAGTCAGAAAGTTTCCAACACTTATTCTGGAAAAAGACGCTTCTTAATAACAGGAGTGAGAAAGGGAGAAGGGGAGGAGCTCAGGGTGATGGCAGTCTTGCTTTGGGACATGCAGGGTCTCCCCATCACAAACCTTCTCTGTGCGGCGCTCCCAGTGTAAAAAGGCCATTGTCCAGGGCATGGATATAGGCTCCTTTATCCATCTCAATGGCAATGGTTCCTGAAATCTCCCCAAAGTTGGATACAGTCCACCAGATTCCTACAAAATAAAAAATCAAGGTTTAACCATTTTATTTTAGGGTTGCTCAAGGTTTTCTGTTGTTTATACTATAACATTTCTAAAAGCCTATATTTGACGATCATAAGAATCATCACAGAGAAACCTGGTTTATCCTTCACTGACCTTCTCCTAATTGTACCACCGTGCAATAACTCCTGTTCAATCCTTAGCACTTTACAGTGACATAATCCTGAACCTTACTCATATTTTACCAGTTCTGCCTGAACTTGTTTGTTTGTATGGGTGGATTCCTGTGACAAACATCACAGTCCAGGTCTCTAACACATGCAGAGACACAAAAAGACAAGTGATGGTCGTGCACACCTTTAATCCCAGAACTAGGGGGGCAGAAGCAGGCAGATGTCTGTGAGTTCGAGGCCAGCCTGGTCTACAAGAGCTAGTTCCAGAACAGGCTCCAAAGCTAGAGAAACTCTGTCTCGAAAAACAAAAAAAAACAAACAAACAAAAAACACCCTCATGGAAAACCAAAAACCAAATCAAATCAAACTAAAAGACTAAGAGAATAGTTTCTCTGACTGCATACCCATCCCACATGCTTTCCATTGGCAATGTTTAAATGAGTCCCACAGAGAGAGGTGCTTTTCAGCCAATAGCCTCTCCTTTTCCTCAGAGGATGCCTGAGACCAATACCAAATGCTACACACATGAATGCTTCCCAACACCTATAGTAAACCTTCAGGCATGCTAGGTAACTATCCTACCACTGAGCCACACCCAAGCCCACACTTAATAGTAAATAAATAATTTTAACACAGTGAATTTCAGAAAAATAATAAATTTGACAGACTTCAAAATTTTCAGTCTCTGCCAAAGTAGAGAAACTGATACATTGCTATCCATGGCATGTTTGTGTTTTCTTCCTGGGAATTCAAGCTGCCTCCATTCAAAGGCCAGAGGTATGTTTACATGTTTCACCCCAAAGCCAAGCTGTCAAAAAGCAACAGGTGCTATAAACATGGCTCACTGATGCCACCCATCACTAAGTCAATCACAGTTTTGTTTTGGTGGTGGTGGAGACCCAACTCACCACTTATAGCTTAACGTTGTCTAGTGCTATAGACACTGAGAGAGGCTCTTGATAGAGGGGGCAGTTATGGAGTTAGGGAGAAATCGGTGCTAGGGAAATTCCTAGGAATCCACAAGGACGACCCCAGCTAAGACTCCTAGCAACAGTGGAGAGGGCGACTGAACTGGTTTCCCTTGTAATCAGATTGATGACCACTCTAATTGTCACCAGAGAACCTTCATGCAGGAACTGATGGAAGCAGATGCAGAGATCCACAGCCAAGCACTGAGTTGAGCTCCTGGAGTCCAGTTGAAGAGTGGGAGGAGAAGAGATCATATGAGCAAAGGGGTCAGGTTCATGATGGAAAACCCAGAGACAACTGATCTGAGCTAGTGGGAGTTCATGAACTCTGGACTGACAGCTGGGGAATCTGCATTGGACCAAAGTAGGTACTCTGAATGTGGGTGACAGTTCTGTGGCTGGGCAGACTGTGGGCCCACTGGATGTGGGGCCAGGATTTATTCCTAGAGCATGAACTGGTTTTTTGGAGTCCATTCTCTATGGAGGGATAGGAGGGATACCTTGCTTAGCCTTGCTGCAGCAGGGAGTGACTTGGTCCTGCCTCAACTTGATATGCCAGACTTTGTTGACTCCCCAAGGGAGGTTTTACCCTTTCAGGGTTGCATTGTGGGAAAGTGTTGGGGGAGTGGGAGGAAGTGAGGAGGGGAAACAGTGGTTGGTATGTAAAATGAAAAAAAAAACATTTTAAATAAATAAATTAACAAAACAACAACAGTGACATCTAGTGAGCTTTCTACGTGAAGGCTCTGACGAGCACCATCAGTGCTAATGAGGACAACACTTCAAACGGGACACGAACCACAACAGACACCAACTTTTCACACAGGAAGTAACTGAAGTGGCTCACCCACAATATCAAGTTGGGTTTCCTCATCTTCTTCTCGTTTTCTCTTCTTATCTTTGCTCTTCTTCTTTTTACTGAGAGAAAGAAAGGATATATACATGAGTTTGGGCATACTGATGGATGTGTTAAAAATTACAAGATGAACACTCAGAAGAGCTGTTCAAGCTATATACTGATTTATAGAGAAATGATATTTAAAATACTGAGAAGTTGACTTAGCCCTGTGTTCATGTTGCTACATTTAAAACAATAATATACAGCCCCTGTTACTCTGAGGAAAAAAAAAAAACAACCGACTAACAAACAAAAACCCTTAATCTGTCAATCAATTTCCCCACTTAGGAGGATAATACTGAAGCCCAGTTCCTAGAGTTACCATGATGGACTATGAGTGACTATTACCCTTCTTCTATTGCTGAAGAATGAAAAGATGGTGCAGCCTCTGTGCTGGCTAGTGTGCTGGTCACCTTACCACAAGCTAGAGTCATCTGGGCAGAGGGACCCTCAATGGAACAAATGCCCCCATCAGATTTGGCCTGTGGGCACACATACAGGGGCATTTCCTTGATTAATGATTGACATAGGTGGGCCTAACACATTGTGGTCCAGAGATGTGCAAGAAGGCAGGCTGAGCGAGCCAGTAAGAAGCATTTCTCCATGGCCTCTATAATGGCTCCTGCCTCCAGATTCCTGCCCTGAGTTCCTGCCCTCTCTTTCCTGGATGCTGATAAGAACCCTCTGCACCACCATGCCTTTGGTCAGGGTGTTCTGTCACAGTGGTGGTAGAACCCCTAACTAAGATAACCTCTTTGAAAAATATTTCTCAAAAAGCTAAATACTGAGTTACCATAAATAATACATAGGTGACGCTACTCTCACATATCTCCAAGAAAAACAAAAAAGAACTATGTCTAGAAAAAAAAAAAAGGAATGTTGATAGCATTATCACTAGTGTAAAATGTTCATCAAATTAAGAATGAATGAAACGTGCTTACACCATACAAAAAAAAAATCATTCGGTGATGGAGGAAGGTCATTGGTTAAAAAAAATAAAGAAACTGCTTGGCCCTCATAGGTTAGAACATAGGTGGGTGGAGTAAACAGAACAGAATGCTGGGAGGAAGAGGAAGTGAGCTCAGACTCGACAGCTTTGCTCTCTGGAGCAGAGACGCCATGTTCCCCTCTCCAGGGCAGAAGCGATAGCTCTGCTCTCTGAGGCAGACACAATTCAGCTCTGACCCAGGATGGACGTAGGCTAGAATCTTCCCGGTAAGCGCACCTTGGGGTGCTACACACATGATTGGAAATGGGCTAGTCCAGGTGCGAGAGTTAGCCGAGAAGAGGCTAGATATAATGGGCCAAGCAGTGTTTAAATGAATACAGTTTGTGTGTTGTTATTTCGGGGCATAAGCTAGCAGTCGGCTGGGGTGCTGGGGACGCAGCCCCGCCGCTCCTATTACTACAATTCGGCCCCAAAACAGAAGAAATACACTGCACTACAATATAGATGCTCCTCAAAGCTAAGGGAAGTAAGCCAGGTATAGTGACATATGCCTTCAACCCCAGCACGTGGGAAGCTGAGGCAGTGGATCACTGTGAGTTTCAGGCTAGTCAGGGCTATACAGCGAGACCCTGTCTCAACAACCTAAGTGAAAAAAAGACAAACACAAAAAGTTATATATTGTATATTCCATTGACATAAATATTCATAGTAAGGAAATTCTTATAGACTGAAAGCAGTTGACAGAAACTGGTGTGTGGGGGGGAGGGCAGCGGGTATGATTATTTAATGGGTAAGGGGTTTACTTTGGAGTGGTAAAAATACTCGTCAACTAGAGAGTGGTGAACTTGTAAATATACTAAAATCCACTAGCTGAATACTTTTTAAAAAGTTTTTGGTATATTAATTTCAGCTCCATAAATGAAAAACACAAAGGGAGATCTTAGGGAAACAGATTATTCAAAGTACTTAGAACAAAATCTGAGCCAGACAGTGGTGGCACACACCTTTAATCCCAGCACCCTGGAGGCAGAGGCAGGCAGAGCTCTGAGTTCGAGGCCAGCCTGCTTTACAGAGAGTTCCAGGACAGTCAGGGCAACACAGAGAAGCACTGTCTCAAAAACAGAACGAGTTCTGGAACATGGAAATGCTATACTGGTTTTAATAATGTTTACCTTAACTTCTTTGCATGTTAACTACAAAGCTTTCAGAAGCTGGTTCTATTCTCCCCGTAGCTACTTAACAGCTGCAGGTTCAGCCAGGATAAATTCGTCACATGCCACACTCAGGCAGTTCTCGAAGGCACGACGCTCCCATAACAACTGCTGCCACCGAAACTGCTTTATCAGGGATCCCGCAAAGAAGTGCTCGACTTTGGCCAAATCTTCCAAAAGAAGACGGAGATACGAATGGGCAGGTGTCTTTCCCTACAGAGCGAATTATAAAACACCACTAGCACGCCCTCGCTTGGCTGTTAGGATCTGCGCTGGCTGTCGCTTCCAATTCTCCTAATTCTTCCATCGTCTCGAGACACAAGAAACATACAAATATCTGAGTTTTCAATAAACGAGCAAATGAACCATCAGTCTTCGCTAACGGTACGGTCCACATCTGAGCCCACACCCCCATGCAAGTCCTAATCAAGCCTTGGGAGTCCCAAGCATGGAGCTCACGGGCCACAGGTCTCCCCGTTTCGGGGGGCTCCCCTGTCACGCACCCTCCTCTCGGGGGCGTCGGGGAGGCTGCCCACGCAGCTCTGCCTCTAGATGCCGTGACCGGAGTGGTCACCCCGGGAGGGGATGCGCTGGGAGCCGAGACTCCCGCCCGAGCTCAGCCTCACCTCTTGGCCTTAGTTCCCTTGAGCACGAGTTTGGTGGACTTCACATACGAGTATTCGGCCATGGTTCGGCGCGCAGAGCCGGCAGCTCCCGGCAGAGTTCCTCAAGGCCGGGAGGAGGAAGTGGAGAAGGACGGAGAGCGGCAGTAAACGGTGGGAGATGAGCGCGTCCCTCAGGAATCCCCCGCCTTCTTCAACTCAACACTATAAAAAAAAAAAAAACAAAAAAACAAAAAAAAACAAAACCCACTTCCTATTTACTGTGCTCGAGCCGCTACGGCGGCCGCGGAGGGTCCAACCGCGCCGGCGTGCTCCACTTCCCGCGGCGCAATCCCGGATGTTGGGGGCTTTTCCCAGCAGGCAAAGCGGACAGAGGCCGCCCCCTGGTGGACAAGAAGATCTCTAACAGCTTCCTGCTGCCGAGGCTGCAAAGAACGGGCTGGGATTTGATGAGACAAATGTTGAAATTATAGAAATTGCTCGCCCACACTTTGGGCAGCGGATAAAGCTCAATGCTCCAGGCAGCTAGCCAGGGTTGGGCCTGCGCAGAGGAACAGAGATCTGAGTGCTATGGAGGCTAGAGTCAGAGCCTTGGCCTGGGGAAACTTGGTCAAATAACATCTGTTCCCTGGTTGTTAATTGTATTGTTTCACTAGGGAGCCTTGAGGAATGCACAGGAAACAATAGAGAAAGACCGAAGGTATGGTTGTTAAATGCTGGCGCCTCCTCCAAGCGCTGAAGAGACTTTGGTCTTAGCATGGAAGACTAACGTAGTCCACCTTTCTGTGTAGGTTCTTGATCCAGCAGGGTACGTATTTCTTTCGCCTCCTTCTATCTTTCCCATGATGTCATAACTCCCATTCCAAACCACCCACCGCGTACACAACTTCTGTATGGTCTTGTTTTTTGCTTTAAACAAAACAAAGCAGCTGTCTTTTAGTCCTGTGAAAGAAACATGGATGTCGTCATAATCAAAATGGAATGGCTTTGTCAATGCTTATAAACATAAAACTATATATTTAGGAAGGAATTAGGTACAAGACTCACTACGTTAGGATAGATATGGAGTATTTTCTCTGAATTTGTCAAATGCATATCGACTAGATATTGTTGATGTATTTATTGCCTATATATTGTATATAGTTATTGTACTTATTGTATATATTTTTATATTAGTTATAGCCCTTTTTATTTTAGGCAAAAAGGGGGAAAGTATTGGCATTTCATTTGTATTTTAATAAATAAAGCTTGCCTGAGGATCAGAAAAGTAAAACAGCCACAGCGGCCAGTCTTACAGACCAGGAAGCAATGTCACACCTTTAGTCCCAGTAGCCACAATGACACACACCTTTAATCCTAGTAGCCACACTAGTTTGCCATAAAAACCAGGCAGTAGTGGTGCACACCCTTAATCCCAGAACTAGAGAGGATAATAAAACGGGAGAAGACAGTCTCATTCTGAGATTCTTTTTTTTTTAGTTCTTTTTTTTAAAGTTTTTTTTATTATTTACTTATTTATTAAAGATTTCTGTCTCTTCCCCTCCTCCCATATTTTTCTCCCTACCCCAATCAACACCCCCTCTCTCATCAGCCCAAGAGCAGACTGGGTTCCCTGCCCTGTGGGGAGTCCAAGGACCTCCCACCTCCTTCCAGGTCTAATAAGGTGAGCATCCAAACAGCCTAGGCTCCCACAAAGCCAGTACGTGCAGTAGGATCAAAAACACATTGCCATTGTTCTTGAGTTCTCAGTAGTCCTCATTGTCTGCTATGTTCAGCGAGTCTGGTTTTCTCCCATGCTTTTTCAGACCCAGGCCAGCTGGCCTTGGTGAGTTCATTCTGAGATTCTTGGAGGCAGGATCACCATTATCAGACTGAGGTAGAGGTAAGAGTCAATGGCTGGCTGTTTTGCTTTTCTGATCTTCAGGTTGAACCCCAATTTCTGTCTCTGAGTTTTTATTAATCATGCATTATTTTTGTTTAAGTTGTTATTAAATTCTTTTTTTTATAGAAACTAAGAACCCTGAAAGGATACATCATTTTCCCCTGTAACTTATGGTACTCACTGCATAGCACCCCCAATTTCTGGTAACACCAGTGTTCTACCACGGAGCTAACTCCCTGTCAGCTGTCCTCTTTGTTTTTGTTTGTAAAAATTACAACTCCTTGAGAGGTTCCGTGTCTCTGCCTCCTTGAGAACACCCATAGTTTTGCTACACTATGCTCTGTAAATGCCTTGAAGTGTCTTAATTTCCCCCCAGATTGACATTATTTTAACTGTTTATTATGCAAGGCAGCTCGTTTCTTTGGACAGACACAAGGAGGGAATCCTATTATTAGTTAATAACTATTGTGAACTTTTATTTTTTAAAAAAAATATTTTTATGTGTATATGTGATTTGCCTACATGTATGTCTATTCATCATGTGCCTGGTTCTTGGAGAAGCTAGAAGAAGCCATTGGATCTCCTAGATTAGGAGTTGAAGGCTTTTTCTGCCATGTGGTCTTGTAGAAGAGTAGCCAATGTTTCCAACTGTTGATCCATTTCTCCAGCCTGGATCGGTGATTCCCCCTGCATATTTAATCTTTGACTTTACACTAAGTTATTGGGACAATATTAATGCCCCATTTAGCTTTTTTTCCCTGCCTAGAACACTTTTATCTTTATATTTTTCCCCAGTTACTGTTCCATATTTCTAAGATTGTTGGTGACAAGAATCTAAATGTAGCTTCCCCAACATTTGTTGATCGTAAAAATCATGGTAGACACTAGTTTAAGATAAAGTCCCAGGCCCCTCACCTAGAGAGTATCTGCATTGTTGAAGGCACCAGAGCATGTGCACTTTTTGATAAGAATCACAAGATGCTTACATTCAAGCAAATACTCAAGGAGAACTTTGTTTTTATTACTGAAAACTACAGCTTTCCTCTTTCTTGTTTAGAATAAAAATGTATTTGTAAAGGAGAGTTGCATGACCAGCTACAGCATCTATACATGCAGTGTAATACATTGTATATTTCTGTCATGTTTAGACTTGGACGAAGGGTCGGAGTGCTCTCAGGACAACCATCTGTTAAATGAAAGGAGGAGTGGACAGGGGTGGGGGAATACAGAGTGTGAATGCTTCTGTTACAGGTTTAAAAGACAAGTGATACAGAGTGAGGTTGCAAGGAGCACTTGGAAGGTGCCAAAGCTTTCTAAGCATCTCTACCCCTTGTAGCACGCATAATAAAAACCAAAGACAGACATCAGGGTTCAAGTTGAAGGCTGGTTCAAAGTGGCCAGCCACTACCGCTTACCTCTACCTCAAACTGAAATAGGCAATCCTGCCTCCGCGAATTCTCAGACAGACTGAGAATGAGGTTAAAGGTGTGCACCATCACTTGCCGGCTTCTGTGGCTAACTAGTGTGGCTGCTGGGATTAACGGTGTGTGCCACCACTGCCTGGCCTGTATGACTGACTAGTGTGGCTGTTTTGTGCTCTGATCTTCAGGCAAGCTTTATTTATTAAAGCACAAATAACATACCACTATCTACCCCCTCTCTGACTTTCAGTTGGCACAGTGTCTCAAGACTCACTTGTTGAGATGAGGCTGTGCCCTGATCTAAGTTGACTTGAGTTGCGTAAAACATTACATGTGTATGAGTATGTGTATGTGAGTGTATGTATGTGTGTCTCTGTGTGTGTGTGAATATATATGTGTGAATGTCTTTCTGTGTGTATGTGAGTGTATGTAGTGAGTGTGTCTATTTGAGTGTCTCTGTGTGTGAGTGTATGTGTGTCAGTGTCTGTGTGTGAGTGTCTGTGTATGTGAGTGTCTGTGTGTGAGTGTCTGTGTGTGAGTTTGTCTGTGTGTGTGAGTGTCTGTGTGTGAGTGTCTGTGTATGTGAGTGTCTGTGTGTGAGTTTGTCTGTGTGTGTGAGTGTCTGTGTGTGAGTGTCTGTGTATGTGAGTGTCTGTGTGTGAGTTTGTCTGTGTGTGTGAGTGTCTGTGTGTGAGTGTCTGTGTATGTGAGTGTCTGTGTGTGAGTTTGTCTGTGTGTGTGAGTGTCTGTGTGTGAGTGTCTGTGTATGTGAGTGTCTGTGTGTGAGTGTTTGTGTATGTGAGTGTCTGTGTGTGAGTTTGTCTGTGTGTGTGAGTGTCTGTGTGTGAGTGTCTGTGTATGTGAGTGTGTGTGAGTTTGTCTGTGTGTGTGAGTGTCTGTGTGTGAGTGTCTGTGTATGTGAGTGTCTGTGAGTTTGTGTGTGTGAGTGTATGTGTGTGAGTTTGTCTGTGTGTGTGAGTGTCTGTGTGTGTGAGTGTCTGTGTGTGTGAGTGTATGTGTGTGTCTGTGTGTGAGTTTGTGTGTGTGAGTGTGTCTAGTGTGTGTGTGGGTGAATGTCTCTGTGTCTGAGTATGTGAGTGTGTGTATATGCGTGTAGGTGTGTGTGTGTGTGTATGTGAGTGTATATATGTGAGCAAGTATATATGTGAGCAGTTGGAACAATACAGAAGAGCAAGGATCAGTTTAGAAAGAAGGAAGGGGGATAGTATTGGTTGGGACCCACAACGGATATGTGTATGATGCTCTCATCCTCTCTCATAGCCTGAAGTGAGAGCTACCACAGGTTCAGACACTAAGGGCTTTTAAGGTCTACTTTGCTCAAGTCTATCTTGGCTGAGTTCTGGACCCAGTTTTATGCTAATTTCAGTGAGTGTACCATGTCCAGGTTTTGTATCAGATGCCTGGATTTTATCACTGGAAATTCTGGTTCAGGGGCTGAACCGATGGCTCAGTGGGAAAAGAGGCTTGCTGTGAAGCCCGGTGGCCTGAGTTCAGTCCCTGAGACCCCACATGATGGAGGGAAGGAGAGTGTTGTTTCCTGACCTCCACATGTTCACCATCGTGTGTGTGTGTGTGTGTGTGTGTGTGTGTGTAAAATAAAATGCACGAGAAATTACAAAATTTAATTATGGGCTGAAGTTGACTGTGGCCAACGAAGTTTTTCAAATGTGATGTTACTGAGTTGCAGTTCTGGCCTATTCTGCCAGGCCCTGTATAGTTCTAGCCTTTCTATTGTGTCTGTCACAAAATCTAACAGTAAATAGGCCATCTATGAGCAATAAGCTGCAAACTTATGCATAAACTTTTACTGGCAGTCCAAGCCTAGCCTGGGCTGGCAGTTCCAATATTCGGGCGCTCCCCCATCGTGCTTTGCCTTCCAGTTCTTGGGCTAGCAACACC